ATGAAACAACCCGTATTTCGCCTAATAAACCTATCAACATTATAAAAACCTTGGGCAAGATAAACAGAATTACATCTTTTATTACGTGATAGTGAAAAATATGATCTAATCTTGTTCATTTCCTCATTGTTTAGCGGAATACCATCAAAGACGATTATCTTCTGCTCTGACGAATCGAGTTCATTCACTGGAACGAGTTCTTCTGGTTGTTTTATCAAAAATATATCATCACCAATGCCAAGTTCATCACGAAGTTTATCATTATACTCACTTAGTAACTCGTATTTGTCTTGTTGGGGGTTGATGGTGTAAATATACACCTTATCATAGTTAAAGTTATTATTGAGTAAAAGATTTAATAACAAATTTGTTTTACCAGATCCAGTTCGCCCAACAATAAGATAATGACAGTCTGGAAGTTCATTGCTATGTTTATGCTTCACCAATCGCTCGGTGTCAAAGTTTATTATCTTCGCCATCGTATAATTTTATGTTATATTAATCCAACAATTTTGTGTAGAACGGTATGTATAATGAGCTACTATACAAAATTTGGAACGTTAGCAGTAGATTTATTAACAGAAGGTTACCAGGGTGACTTATCCAAGTATGCAACTCTTGATAAGCTCAAAAATGAAATCAACAATTTGTTAAACGTTGCAAGTGTAGATCCAAATGAAGTTGTAGTTTTCCAGGACAAACAAGGACGATTAAAGACGAGTAATGTACAACTATCAGATGTACTAGTACGAAATCCTACTGCAGTTGCTAATAATATTGCTACTTTTAATAATCAAGGTAAGATAGAAGATTCGGGTAGGTCAGTTAACGATTATGTTAGAAAAGCAGGTGATTTATTTACGGGAAACATTGCTATGAACCAGAACAAGATCACATACCTTGGAAACCCAACTGAGGATAATGACGCTGCTACTAAGAAATATGTTGATGATCAGGAATCAAAGTACGTGTCGATGCATGGCGGTATAATGCGTGCATTTCTCAACATGAACAATAATGGCATCAATAATCTTAGAACACCAGAATCTGATTTTGATGCTGTAACAAAGAAATATGTTGATGATATCAACAATGAAATCACCAAGTTCAAAACTGATTTTACTAATCACATCACCACGTTTTTAAATTTTCGCAGAAACATAAACAAAACCAATAACGAATTTTTTGGAAGTCCGCCATCTGTTGATATTACACTCGATAATATTAACAAAAAACTCAACGATATTATTAGTGGAATTCCTAGTATTGTTGAGAAAACAAGTATGATTAAAATTCCTCACAAGCAGATTAAAAATATTGTCTATACTGTTGCTTCTGGAATGTCTACTTGGTCGCCGCAAAATAACACTCTCAAACATACTGCAGAGGTTACTGGTGTGTATAGATTGTCTGTGTTGAGCAGTGCAAAGTTTAATATATTTACATTATTTCCATGGCGTCACTCGACTGATAATTTCTCTGGAACTGTGTCTATTGTGTTAAACAAAGATGTTGAAGAAACTTTTATGCTAATAGCAGATGACAAAAAATTAACTGCTGCGTCATATTGGTATTGTCTGGAATTTGTGGCTGAAACACCTCAACTAGTTACTTAATCAAGCCTGAGATTATGTGAACAAATATTATAATGAAAAAAAGTATAGTTGATTTCAATCATATTTCAAAAGATATTCCAGGACAGGATTTTGACGCACTAATACAATACTACAAATATTATCATAAAAAACTTTGGTGCGTTAAAAAATGTTATAAATATTATAACAAAATACTTCGAGTAATATCATATCTACCCTTGTTAATGACTAGTTCTGGCATAATTTCAAGTGGTATATCATTAAACCCGTTTTTGTTAATCATATCCGGTGTTGGTGTTTCTCTTACAGCAGCTTGTAAAAAAGTTGAACCTAAAATTTGATAAAAAAGCACGGCTGCTTAACATCAATTATAACTTACAAAAAACTACTTGATCAAATAAGATCTTACCTACGAGGAGTAAAATATAGTATGGACGATTTAATACGTGAATTTCGTATTATTGACAATATGTTAACAGCTACCTATGAGGATCAGCAAATATGAGAAAGATTATCAAAAGAAGTATGATATAACATAAAATCAATTAGATATATAAAAAATTTTTTATATTATATAATGACCGAATTTTCAAGTGATCTCCATGAAATCCTCCGAGAAGTTCAGATGAAACATGCTGAAAATCTTATGCAATTATATACTTCTCCAGGGTATATACCAGTAGATGATATTGACGTAATAGATCTCCCTGATAAATTTATCAAAAGAGAAAGAGATCTGCTCAACCACTACATCAACGCCAATAAATCACTCATCAAAAGTGAACCAGATGGAGAATATTATCCTTACTTGTACAGCATAACGAGAAAAGCAGCATTAAACAATAATTTTCGCAAAACTCACAAAAAATTTATCAAAAGTGAACCAGATGGTGAATATTACCCGTACGCGTATAACGAACTGATCAACAAAACATTGAAAATCACTGATGATTGAGAATTTGAACCAAAGGTTCTCCAAGCAATTGAAACCACTAGTGGTTTTACGAGTGATCTTTAGGTTTCAGTAACGCCTCAGTAAGTATTTGTTCAACAGATTTCTTCTTTGGTGGAATCGTTAACGATTCCCACGCTAGCGTTTCCATGACAACTTTGTTGTCTGCGCTGATTCTTTCAAGTTGGCTGATTTCTTCATGTTGTTCATTTATCGTTGATGTTAAATCATCTATGATTATTTTATTATCTTCGATGGTGGTATTTAACCTGGCAATGGTCTCTTCAACGTCGCGAACTTCATTTACTGCTTTTTCGTACAGTTGTACGACATGATCTCGCCGTTGTATCTCACATGTCAGTTTGTTGATCAGTTCTTGCCGTACATCTAGTTCATTTTTCATTTTGAGAGCTTTGCTGGTTATTTCATCATGCTTGGTCTGTAAACTTTTACACGTTTGCCGTTTTTCTTTTAACTTTTCGTTGATGCTATTTATTTTTTTTGTTAAATTTTGACCCGCTTGAGTACCTGCTAACCCTCCTGGAAATTTTCCATCTCCGGATGCGTCAGTCCATATTTTATACAGCCGGGTAAGTCCGATATTAAATTGAGCCGCGATCTGCTAAATCGTAATGATTTGGAAAATTGAGTCTGACATATCATTCTGCTTATTCTGGAAGATCACGTAATTAAATTTTACCTGTTACCTAGGTATTTTGCAACAGGTGTTCTATTGTATTTGTTTGGAGGTCTAGAGGGGTTGTTGAGCTCGGATTCTTAGCGCAATTATTGATTGCAATAGGTGTTCTATTACGTTACCTAGGTATTTTGTATTTGTTGAGCTCGGATTCTTAACGCAATTATTGATTGCAATAGATTTTCTATTACGTTACCTAGGTATTTTGTATTTGTTTGGAGGTCTGGAGGGGGTTGTTGAGCTCGGAATCTTACTTTCATCTACTACTCACGTTTGCAAACAAAGACGAATTCATGGCAAAATGGAGACGATATTCAGGTATTTTCAAACGAACACACCTTTTGTCAACCTCAACACTTTTACTGCAGATAATTAACCGGTATGGAAGTCGTTCATCAATGAGATGGCAAAATGTTTCTTTAAGACGATTCAGCAATTGTTGGATGTTTCCATGTTACGAACTGATTTTAATAACAAATCGAACAACTTCAGAAATAGTTTGTCATTAAACAGCAAGTAATGTAGTGAATCAGGAAGCGCAAAGACATTTTATTTTAGATTGTAATAAAAATATTGTGAAAACGAAATGTAAAGTACGTGCTCCCTTTCCTAAAATAAACATCAGTTTTGTTCTGCTGGAGAAAACCAAAGTAAACGAGGAGATATTACATGAAATGCAATCTTTCATAACAGAAATTGAGAAATTTGTAAAGTATTTTCCCACGTGTTATTCCTTTGATGATTCCAAAGCCGTACATCAACTAGAAAATGTGTATCATTGCTATCAGTACAATTTGAAAATGAAGTATCAGAGTCTCTGACGAGGAAAGACTCCGGCCATAAGGGATTCCAATAGTCGGTCAGTCGAAGGAGTGGACTTTTGCAAACGATGGGAATTTGCACGACTAACTGGATTTTGCCATATATGTTATATATATATATATATATATATATATATATATATATATATATATATATATATATATATATATATATATATATATATATATATATATATCAAAGCTAAGCTTGGAACAATAATCAAATGTTCAATGGATTGTAGCATGGCGATATATATTATAGAACTCTCTCTCTGTCTGTCTCTCTCACACACACACACACGCACACACGCACGTACACTTGACAGCGACTAGCGATCGTACATATAGTTGCATTGATCTGATCGAAATCTGGCAGCGGAATATTCTGTATCTGGGTCGCTAAGTATAATTAGGTTGCGACCGTTCTTCTCACAGACTTGGCATGTAAATTCTTACCGCCATGTTACTATTACTGTCATAACGAAATGCAAAATATAGAATGATTCTTTTGCAATTATGCCATTAACAACTTTATTTTCTTTCCCTAAGCAGTTCACAGTATAAAGGAAATTCAAACAAATCTCTAATTTATAAAGAAACTACGCAGATAGGTAGAAAAACCAAGAAGCATTATAATCGAGCCTGATCCTATTTTTAAAACCTTCCAAATTAAAATTCAGTCAACAGCTAAATTATTTCCAAACCAAAACTACAAAGAAGTCGACGTAACAGTAAATGCCAGTGTTATATATGATCTCGGTAGGCAACTGCTAGTTATTTGATATGTCCTTAGAACAGGATTGACTGTACATGGGATGTCGATTGCTTATTAGACTTGACGCATATCGTTATTTTTGGTTTTTTATCAGTATCAAGCGATAAACATTATAGTATCAATAATACATCATATGCTTGAAAGAAGGTTGTAGTCTGAAGGACCCGTGGACTAATGGATAAGGCGTTTGACTTTGAATCAGAAAATGCGAGCTCAAATCTTGTCGTGGCCGCATATTTATTTTTAGTGTTATGGATGGTACCATTCACATCTTTGGTAACCATGTCATTTAACGGGAATGACCTTATGTTGGGTAGGATACTAGGGAAAAGTGATTCATAAAAGAGCAGCGAATGTGTGTGTGATTTAGATTTTTAACGTAGTTTAAATTTTTTTTTCTCAGTCATATAGCTAAGATGTGTGTGGAAGTTTATAGTGACGAGGCTTCATGCCGCAGACACGTTGCAAGACGTCCCACCCAGTCACATTATCCTGACATCCGGACGACCAGTCCTAACACTAACCTCTTAATGCTGAGCGACTAGCGAGACAGCTGTTAGTAACATTTTTATAGGTCTTTGGCCAGGATTTGAACTCACGCTCTCTCATCCGAGGCAAACGCATTAACCACTTGGCGACCGGAACCGTCCTCGATTGAATGAGTTAAATAGGAGCTTTTAAAGATACTCAGGATTGGGGTCTACATCATATGGTGTCCAACTTTGTATTAGAAGATCGTGCGTTCGACATAACAGCATACTTTTGTTATTGTGTTCGTTGTTGTCCCTCTAGATTGGTCATTAAAAACGGTTAGACCGTATACACATGTAGTGTGCACGTTTCTCCCCTTGTGCAGCCTGTTTCTGCTAAAGTGCTTTCAAGTGTTTTGGTAGTCGTTGACGATTTCCCAATGTATTCGACCTTCAAACGTTGACGGAAAAGAGCAGGCCAGAAGTTTGACTAATTCTACGTAAATGAGAGCGAAAATGATGCTTAAACTTGTTGATTGGCTCTAGATTTAAAGATATGATACTTATAAAGGGATGAGATCTCACTCTAATTCAGAAATGACTAAACTACATATTTGACCTTATCTAAGAATAAATTTATGACTGGGTTTTGGAGGGTAGTTGGTTTATATACACAACAATAAAAGACGCAATTTAAAACTGGTATTGCGTCATATATGATATGAATTGCATTATGTTATTCGTAGAAGTAAGTCATGAATTATGCAGTCATAGCTAAGCATACATCACGCTGAGGAACAAATTGCCCAAAATCAGCTCTATCACTCAGAGTGTCGTGCTCTCTTACTTGTCAATGTTTGATTTTGCAAAGGGACACATTTCTGTTTATCCAAAGTGAGCAGAGATACATCGTACCTGTGTGAACAATCAGATAACTTCTGCGACGTTATTAACAAAGTGACTCTTGCATCACAAAAGCGTAGTATAACAACATTGGATAAGATAACCTATCAACTTTATCACCTGCAGAATTGGGGATCTGGACAAGAGATTGGCACAAAATATATTCTGCAACACCTGTGCAACAAATCTGAGCCAGGAAGAGGAAGCAGAAATCTATGCTTTTGCAGTGCCAATGAATTGGAGAGACATTCAACAGGTTATATCAGCGATTGTTACTTCTCCATGGTGCCTCCAGATGGGAAAAGTGTGTAAAAGAAGAAAAAGTGGACTGTGTATTATCCAAACATTACATTTGCTATACGCCAAGTACCCCTGGGAGAAGGACTGCCGGTTCATTCAAAAAACTTGGTCGCAACATGTCATTAATGATCCACAATTTCTAAAATATTGTAGACCATTGAAATTGGTAATCTCTATCGCTTCTGTCTCACAACAGGTACATCCATGTCCAACACATACATTGTCGGTTTCGTCTAATACCTTTTTAAGAGGCGGTTTTGTCGTCCAGGATAGCGTCTGGAAGCTCTGCTGCCTTCAATTGCCAGATTTGCAATCATTGAATCGGTATTGGCATTGTGACTAAGGTGGTTGAGCTGGAATAATGATCATCTTTATAACCAGCGTGGACATTGTTGCCGTAAACTGAAACACTTCTGTATCCTTTGACCTGACCGCGTTTTCCGCCCTAATCGTCTTAGTCAATCGTGAATAGATTGAAGAGCCTGTGATCCTAAAGTGCTCAAGTCGACTACATCAGCGCTTTTGATGTTACACCCAGTGCATTTATTAATAACAAGAACGGTGGCTCTCTTGTGAACAACCCTCGCACGACGTTGCCATGGCCATTTCAGTAACATGTCACGTAAAGGTAACGTTCAGGACGAACATGGGTAACATGCAGTTGTGCGATGTTTGAGATTGCTGAAACTATACTTTCCTTTGCTGAACCTGGACATGAATCGCCGATGTAATTCTGATAATGTCTTGAGAAAAAAATTGTATTTATTGTATCTTGCACGACTAATCTGTTTGCGAACGGGAATGTTGTTCTCAAAAATTACTGTGAAATTTCCACCATATAGTGTGCACGTTTAATCAAAATGGCAGTAGTGGGCTTTGGCCCGTGTTCGAGAATTAAAAATTTACAGTGTTTGTCGGTCACCAGTGAAATCAGTGATATCGTCATAGATATATCTATTTTTATCTTCACGAGTTCGAACATTAATATAGCAAATGTTCCCGTGACGATATCAGTGAACGACCGCCCATAAGTCGACATGGCTTCGTTGATGACTTTGGGGCGTTATTACTGGCGTGAAACAATCACGCAAGCGTTTCTAAGAGTTGCTGGTAACAATTGTGCTAAATTTGTCAAGCATTTTCCTGCAAGTGGTTCTTTATGTTGTTCTTGCACCAATCGAATTTTACTTAGTTGTAATTGCCGTTCTTTTCTTTGCAGTATGGGTTCGGGTTCAGGTTTAAGTTTAGGTTTGGGTTTACTTGGATATTGTTAAACATTTTTTAAGTTTGTTTCAGCAGATAAGCTTTTACTCAAGTTCTTTTCGCAAGATTCGTTTTCATCTGCGTCGCTTTTGCAAGTCACTTTGTTCTTAGTGTGCGGTAAGTCTTGCGTGTGATGATTAAGGTTTCGGACTCGAGTTTTGGTTTGTTTTAGTATTCAGGTTCGAGTTTAGTTGGACGCTGCGAGGAAACTTCTCCACAATTATTTGCTAAATTGCAATACCAACACTTTCTGGTCATAGAAAGTGCTTGGTCTCAGGTATTGAATCCTTTGCCACAATATTGACCTAAATGTCAATGGTTGCAAGACATGAAGAAGGCACCTAACATGATCAAATATTGCTTACGCATGTTCAATTAAATATTGAACGTGCATGTTAAATGTTTGTTATCTCTACGCGATATTCCGCTGCTTTATCGCCATACGGCGCTAATGGCCGGTTTTGTATCTGTATGATTTAGACATGAAATAGTTCCGCTTGGCTTCTAGTAAAGTATATCTTGCGTCTCATATTAATCTTTATTTTAGAATATAATTAAATATTAAAAGTCTCTGCAGTAAATCATTGCCGATGAATGGCAATAAAAGTCAATCAATAAATCTAACAGGACATTTTCCAGTGAATAGATAATGGGTCCCTACTTCAGATTGCCAATACAGAAATTAATTTTACGAACATGAGACATCTTTCAAAAATGGAAATGCGTTAGCCTGGAAATTGGTACCTGTCAGTAACGAGCTTCTTCCCAGCGATTCCAATGAAAAGTTTACCAAGGAATGAATTTATCCGTGCTATGTCAACCAAGTCTGTTCATCAGCAAACAATTTGATTAACGAGGTGTATTTTTGCTTTCTCTATAATATATGCCATAAAGTAGCTGCCTCATCCAGAAGCCAGAAATCCTTGACGTCTTGAATTCAGAAGGTAAGCCTATGATGAAAATGTTTGAGAAATTTAGACGAAGATATAAAATTTTAACTAATAGAATTAATTCATGTCATATGACAAGTAACCATGCATCTGCATATTTACATAACATAAGCACTATAAAAATAAGTATGCACTGTATTACCCTGTCTATTGATTATCAGAATCAGAAGTCAATAGCAATTGAATGAGTGTTGCTGATGATTAATCCGTCGAACTGCTAGCCATTCGTAAACGAGTTCCAGGAAATGGTACTTGTGATTTTCATTATGCAGTTTTTGTACATATAAGTAAGCTTTGCACATTCTTCAAGGACAATATCAACTTTTAAAATGTAAATTCGTGCATTTCAAGAGGATTGGTCAAGCGGCTTGAAGAAATATGAGTTACAACTGAGTTGCATGCTAAATAATTGTCACATAATAACATATATTATTCAATATCTATGAGGATGTGGAAATAATAATCCGTCAAGTCTTTTTTAAATACCAGTTCAGGAAATTGTTTTCGGTATAATGCTCGAAGGCGATTGGAATGTTTGCTAGGTTTTGTTTTTAATTTTTTTTAAAACATATGCACACTTTTATCGATTTTGTGGATTTAAAAATTCCTAATTTAAGCACTTACAAGAAATATAAGAATTTATTAAGAAGGCATCATAGTAGATAGATAGATAGATAGATAGATAGATAGATAGATAGATAGATAGATAGATAGATAGATAGATAGATAGATAGATAGATGTAAAAGGGGTTGAGTGAGAAAATCAAGATCTACATATAATCAGTATATCTCATGGGGACCGATACGATATCATGCTCTGTTGACCTTATTGAATCTCCAATCAAATTAAAATTTACATATTTGTGAAGTTGAACACACGATTCGGAACATATCGTTAAAAACTCTAACTCGCACTAACTCGTATTACGATCATGAACCTGATAAACTGGTAAACATAAGTGGTTGTTGTTGTTATTGCTGTTGTTGTTGTATGATTTAACGCCATTTTTCAGCACATGATATGCTATACATGAAAGTGATCGGTAACGGTGAGCGTTGTAGACCACTCAGCCACTCGGGGCCAAAATAAGTAGTACGGGGATTTAAAATTCATCAAAACACACATGTAATTTAAATTCATCAAAATAGTAGTAGATAGTAGTAGTAGATGAAAAGGCTGATTCTGGCGCAAAAGTTATCCCCATCCTCAAAACAAATACAAATTACTTCTCTTAAGACCTTAAAACACCAAAGTTTTTTCACCTACACAAAAACTAAAGGCTGATTCTGGCGCAAAAGTTATCCCCATCCTCAAAACAAATACAAATTACTTCTCTTAAGACCTT